TGATTTGTCTTTATTTTATATTGATGCAAATACACTCCTTTAAAAATACAGAAGCACCTTTCTCATCATAGGACTTATAACTTTGAAAATCATTTTTGTTTTCGAAGGGCGAATTTTTGGGTACATTGCACGACGAAACACGCGGCGATTTCAAGTCTGTGTTAAATTATACCCAAACAAAATGACGCAGCTTCCATAGTACGTCATGTGACCGTGATCACTTATTAGGAGTCATGTTTATCGTTTGCTCATTTAAGTAAATGGTATCCGAATCATGCGTTCCATTTTTAGCTCTTTCTCATTGAAGCCTTCTAATTCAATACACCCACACATTGAATGATCTATAGAGATATTTTGTAACATTGATCAATAATTTACAAAAAAATAGAATATCTAATTTATGTTTTTTATTGTCTAATGTCTGGTCAACACAGTCATGTTTACATTAAAAAATGTTGCCTGGTAAATGGCCTAATCAATTTAATCAATTTTGTGCATAATAGTGTTGGTAGCACGGACAAACATAACAAGAGCTGTCGGTAGGACAGCACGCTCGACTATTCTAAGTGCTTGATAGTAAAAGAGCCTTGATAATGTTAATTTTTTTAAGATCACAAAAGGTCTAATTTTTTTTTTAAAAATTCATGTTATAGGCCTTAGAGAGAGTCTAATTATACAGTATTGGCTTGACTATTCGGAAGGTAATGTCACAAGGTTGTTTTATTGAGTATAATAATACTAATTACCTATGAATACATACATTTGACAGAAAAGGTACGAAGGCTTCTAATTAAGATGTTTTATCAAGGAAATCACTGCTTTATTATTTTGAATGCATAAAAAAGGCACAAACCCTTCAGTAGTAATTGAGATAACAGCTTACAAGCAAAACTTTACCATGCATTTCTAAGTTGAAAAAGGGGAGAAAAATCAGCCTAAATGCAAGATAGAATTATGGATCTTTGTCAGTGACCTACAATTATGACCCTAAATGCATATGTGAAGTTTTAAATAAATATCTGTAATAGTTATTGAGATATGTAAAACTTGCATGTAAACATTAACCAAGAGACTAAGTAGAAAAGGGGATATGAATCAGCCTTAATGCAAGATAGAGTTATGGAACTTGGTCAGTGACATACAATTATGACCCTCCAATTATGACCCTAAGTGCATGTGTAAAGTTTCAAGTAAATATCTTTGATGACCTTTAACCTTAAACCAAAATTTCTAAGTTTCAAAGGGGCAAATAATTCTTCAAATTTTGCAGGCAGAGTTATGCAATTTTGCAAACTGATGTACATTGTTACTATAAAAAAGTATTTTAAATTTAAATTGAATATCTCAAGCAATAATTGAGATATTTGACTTTACAAAAAAACTTTAACCAAAATTACAAAGTTCCAAAGGGGCATAATTCTGTCAATATTGTAGGCAGAGTTATCCAACTTGTCAATCTGATGTACCTTGTTACTATAAATAAGTATTGTAAGTTTCAATTGAATATCTCAAGCAATAATTGAGATATTTGACTTTACAAAAAACTTTAACCAAAATTTCTAAGTTAAAAAGGGGCATAATTCTGTCAATATTGTAGGCAGAGTTATCCAACTTGTCAATCTGATGTACCTTGTTACTATAAATAAGTATTGTAAGTTTCAATTGAATATCTCAAGTAATTATTGTGATATTTGACTTTACAAAAAACTTTAACCAAAATTTCTAAGTTAAAAAGGGGCATAATTCTGTCAATATTGTAGGCAGAGTTATCCAACTTGTCAATCTGATGTACCTTGTTACTATAAATAAGTATTGTAAGTTTCAATTGAATATCTCAAGTAATGATTGAGATATTTGACTTTACAAAAAACTTTAACCAACGCAGACGCCGACGCGGACACTGACGCCGACGCCGACGCCGACGCCGGGGCGACTACAATAGCTCTCATATTCTTCGAATAGTCGAGCTAAAAAATGAACAAAAAAGTGAACAAAAGCCCCGCCTAAAGTGCTCTTGTGACATTGTAAAATATATTTTGATTGTCTCCATGTAAGAAGTCTATACAACGAGGGGAAGGGGATGTCGTAGTGCTCTGATGGATTGACATATGAATGTGATAAACTGATCACTTCCCTGGGTGTTTGATCACGGATTTATATTACAAGGATCGGACACTTTCGTTTAGCTTAAAGTCCCGTCGCGCGCATGCGCGGAATCGGATAAAGGTGGACAGAATGAGATGGCGGAACGCGCGGAGTGCGAAATATGACAGATTTTCACAAGAGTATGTGGTGTTATTGCAGCTTTGTGAAAAATTATACACATATGAATGTATTGATACAGTATTATTTTGTGTCGCTAAAGTATTAATATATGAAAATATGCCGATAGAACGCTGCAACGCTTAGTTAAAAAGTACCTAATTAAAAAAAATATTCGCCTATTGTTTAGGCATACTCTCTACACTTTGGCGCCCTTTTACTTCAAGCACGTATTATTACCGCGATTCAGAATAAGATAATTATTTTTTACATGGTTTAATGGTGGCATTGCAAAAAAAAATAGTTTCTTGATTGCTAAAAAAACTTTTAAAGAAATTCATGTTTGAAATGTGTCTTTATTTCTGTGAATTATTTCCAAATGATTTGTACATTGTTTATTTGATTACCTGTATATTAGTATAAATATAGTTAATATTCTACTAATTAGTGTATTAAATATATTTTCAGATCATTCTAGACAAACATTCATATATAGATGAATTCATTAGATTGGCAAGGAAGAAACTTTTATTGGCATAGAGAACAGCTGTTTTATAAAATTATTTTTTATTTAGAAACAGATTTTTTTCATAGTTATCCTTCACAATTCACGTCAAATGATTTATTTATCACATGTTTATTTTCATTATTTTTCAAAGAAAGGACTATACAAATTTAGTTGTATATTTTCAATTTCATTTATAAATGTTAATAAAGAAAATAGATTTACATTGTATTTATATGTATCCTCTTCAGAATCATTTTCTTACCACACATGCCATGGACTGTAGTTAAAGACCGCGCACATACAAAATATACATTCAAATTCTATTTGTTTTTGAAGATTGAGTGTTGCAATTATCACATGTAACTTGGTAGTGAAAGTTTGAAAATAAAGTTTTTTAATTATCACTTACCCCCTTCAAAAGTAATTAACCCTTTACCTCATATATACGCGAAACAACGCACTTGTGACCGCCTTCTTTTTAGGTCTAAAATATTGAAAAAATGTCCTTTTGGGGCCCCAAACACATGTTTTCGTTTGAGAAATGTTGTTGAAAAAAAGTGAGCCAAGAAAATTTTGGACTTGTGAGAGGCTAAAAAATGACCCAAGGTCGATCATAAGGTAACGTGTAACCAACGCTGAAAAGCCTTTGACTCTATCTCAATCCCTTGAGAAGCTGCAGCACTTTGAAATAAATCTTGATGGAAATAATCGAGGCAAAATAGTGATTTTTGGCAATTTTGAGATGTCCCCTCGTTGCCATGGTAACGGGAAATTTAAGACTGAGCATGTCGTTACAAAGGCAATGGTCCAGTCAACATTTGTGCCAAGTTTGATTAGTTTTGAAGCATTTTTTATAGTTTCATAGCAGTTTGAACTTGTAACAGGAGGCTTTTCAGTAAAAACGGCCATTTTTCACAATATGCTCATGGGGGAAAGGGTTAAACTTGAAAGAATTTAAGCGATGTGTAAAAAAATAATCAAAAGTTACTTTTATTTCGCAAAATACTTACTCAAACTGTAAAGATTTTTATCGTTTTTCTAGCGTTACATTAAAAAGTATCATAAATATCTTTCTGCAGGCATTCAAATAAAAAGAATAATTAAAATATACGGATTAAAATATACGAGTGACATTAAAAAGGCCGGAATCGAGACAGCCACACGAGAGAACTTTACTGTTACGATGATTGTCTACTTCACTGCACCGACATTTGAAAACAGATTTACAAAAAATAATAATGATATAAATGATGAATGAAATTTAAATATTCTATGAATATGGCAATATTGACAATCTCGGCAATATTTTGTACTAAAAAAAGTGAATAAATTTTCTTCACGTGTTGAGCGAATTGTAAAGGCCGCAATACATTACCCGTAAAACAATTGTGCGTTAATAAATTTGACTACATAACCCAATAAATCTTAAATATTGCATCTTTGATCATCTGTGAATAACTTACATCGGCTTCTTTTTTATTTTGAAACTGAAATTATTATGGTACCGTAATAATAAATTTCAAATACCTGCTTTTTATATAAAAAAAATGTAAATTTACCGCGGTTTCGTCAAGTTAATTTTTTAATCGTCGTTGCGGACAGATAAACTGTACCTTTAAAATTAAATTAGATATTTGAATTAAACAAGTATGTTTCTTCAAAATAAACTTTAAATTTCCAAAATCGGATAATAAATGGAAAAGCTGTATAGTATTTTCTAAAGTAAGTATCCGTTGCGAACGGGCATTTACGCTTAGCGCCGGTAAATTATCGATCGATGTACCTTTATCGGGCGCACGACAAGATATTCAAGCATTTATATAGGGTTAACTGGGAGTGTCCGATCCCTGTAATATAACTTTTATATTCTGTTTTTCTCCAGTCCCTTTAAATGTTTGTGATTTTTCTTTCTTTTTTTTTCAGAAAGATATGTCAATCGGAAATGTGTAAGTTTAATCTTTTATCAACATTGTTTGCAAAGTAATTTTCAATAGGATTTTACACTCAAACTGCTCAAAATTGTATACACTTTAAATGTATTTTAATACATTTGGCCATAAACAAAACAAAGAGCTGACATATAATGTGTCAGTGTGACGTAAAGTCCAATCAAACAAACAAAACAAAGAGCTACTGTTGATGAACATGATAAATTTTATTTTATATATAATCTCTATAATATAAGATTAGCTTTGGTATTTAGCTGCTGCTAAACGTATTTCAGAACAAGCAGATCGAAGCTTTTTGATATACCGCAACGATTGATTTATACAGATGAAGAAGGACTGTTGCAGTTAGATGGCCATGTTTTGTCTCAACTTTCACAAGTTAACATGAAAATTAATGTTGTCGGTGTCTGTGGTCTGTATAGAACTGGTAAATCCTATTTAATGAATTGGATTGCAGGTGAGAAAACAGGTAAGTCAGTTGTACCAGTTCATACATATCATGCATTATCGTTGATTAAAATTATTGAAATCTGGAAAAGGGATGATCCCTCGGAAGCAGTGAAAACAGCAATGTATAATATTGTTAAAAGTATGTTTAACTTTGAAGCAAACATTCCATGTAAATTCAAATGCGTACTAGTTTAACCTCTCACGACAAAACCAATACTATTATATATGCTAATATTAAGCATGGCCTGGTATTTTTAAGACTAAACATGTGTCTAAACCGTCATTTACTTTAAGGGTTTAATCTTGGCGTTACAACTCAATCAGAGACAAAAGGGATATGGATCTGGTGCAGACTTCATCCAACGCAATTGGACCAAGTGTTAGTTTTGTTAGACACAGAGGGATTAGATGATCCTGAAAAGGTTACTGTTGTATTATGGGTATATTTATTAATATGTACACAAAGCGTGCACTTGTAATATATATAACACAGACACGTGTTGCTAGTTCTATCGTTTAATGACCACTGATTGTTCCAAGTATATAAGTGGCGGGAAGATAATGGACATACGCATTACAGTATAAGATATTATTAAGATTAAACATATGTATACAATATACAGCATTCCCCTTGTTTAAAAAAATAAGCACATTTAGTATATTTTAAATTAATCTGTAAAATACATTCATTCAAGTATATCAAATACATGTATAATTATTGATCTTTTAATGATGACATTGAAATATACATGTATTAATATTAACAAGCAAAAAATTTAATCCTTTCTAAATGTCACTAATTTACAGTTTCACTCATGACTTTTTCAACAAATGTTATCGCTTTGTCCAATCTTTTACACAGTAAAGCTTATTCGGTTTTACCTCTCTACCTGACCTATTGATTGTGAATGGTTTTGATTTACCTGGCACATTTGCAGGAGATAGGGACTCTGTAGGGGTATTTTAACATGTTTGTTCACTAAAAATAGATTCCTGGGGTTCATCTACTTTTGATGGTTGTTGTGTTTGTTTTGACAAGTCAGATAGTTTAGGAGCTTTATTTAGAAAAGGCGATTTCTACGATAAACAGCAACGTCAGGGGTCTGCACGTGGAATGAGTGTTCATTATGCTTGGTTGTAACCTTGGCTGGTTCCCAGAGCTTATCTCTTCGAATTCTGACAGTTTTTCCAAATTTTAAAAGAATGCGTTTTTGCAATTTTAACATATACTTCAATAAGTGCATTTGAATTTGCATGCGTGGGACTTGAAGTTTCGTGTTTAATTTTCCATAGTTTAAGAAAGTTCTGAAATTGTTCACTAGTAAAGCATGTCCCATTGTCAGTTTTTAACTTTTCACAGATACCAAATCTGCTGATATGTACCTTAAGTTTTCTTATGATACACGTACTTGAAGTGCTAGTCAATTGGTCGAACTCAAAATATCGACTGTAAGCGCCAACAAGAAGCATAAAATTTTGAACATTCCACATAAATAAATCGCATGATAAATATTGCCATGGTCTTTGGGGTATATCATGAGGATGTTATTGTTCCTTTTTATTTGAGTCTCTATATTTACAACAAATCTGGCTATTTAGTACATAATCTGTACTTTGTTTTGACATTGATGTCCAAAACATTATATCCCTAGCCCGTCTTGTCGTTTTTCTACACCAAAATGACCTACATGTACTGCGTTAGTCATGTCCTGTCTTAAAGATTTTGGTATTACTATTCTGGGACCCTTGAACACAATATTGTCTTCAAAATCCAATTCGTCACTATGATTCCACTATTCTAATACAGTCGCATCCTAATTTCGTCTGTCGTCAGTCCATCCGTTAGAAATGACACTAATAAGCGTTTGTAACTGAGCATCATTTTGCGTTGCTGTTTGAATTTCATGCAATTTTAAATCACTTTTCGGTAGTGATTTCAGTACAGTGTGTACACGTGTTGCTAATCCGTCAATCAGATTAGGAAAATTGTCAGTTACGTAATTCCAACTAAGAGCATCTCCAAGAGGAAAATCTTTACCTCTACAATTAAAACACCTAGGTCGAAATCTTGAAGTTGTAAAAGCATCTGTTGTAACCTAGTCGGGGCACTATAAAGTGGTTTTCTCATAATAGATACTATCGGTTTACAGTCAGATTCGACAACCGTGCGCCTTCCGTAAATATAATGCATAAATTTAGTGCATCCAAATAATATTGCTAGCATCTCTTTTTGTATTTTTGCGTATCCTGTCTCGGTCAATGCCAGTGTTTTTGAAGCGTATATAATTGGTGAACCATTTTGTAAGCAACAAACACCAAAAGCATTTGGACGAAGCATCCAATTGTAATCTAACAGGCTTCGATGAATCATAGTAACTGAGTACAGGTGCTTGTGTAATCACTTGTTTAACCTTGTTAAAGCGTCAGATTGGGCTGAATCCCATCTGAACTCTACGTCATTGCGTAATAACTCTGGCACCAGGCTAGTTATCATCAATAGATTTTGTAGGAATTTTGTCAAGTATGTTATCACACCCAGCAGGGTTTCAAGCACAGCACGAGTTGCCGGATTTTTCATTTCGATAATTGAGCTAATTTTCTAAGGGTCAGGTTTTAGTCAATCAGCACTGATCACGTAACCGAAATATTTAACCTCTGTTAGAACTTTTTTCAGATTGTCAGGATTAAATCCTAAACCTTAGTTCCTTAAGGTTTATGTCATGTTCAGCGCGTGTGCTTACAAACACTAATAAGTCGTCAATTATTGACGTCACACCCTGTAAACCTTCAAATGTCTCGTCAATTATCCGTTGGAAAATGTCTTGAGATTTTCTTATGCCCATAGGAAGTCTTAAATATTTGTACCGTCCAAATACTGTGATAAATGCCGTGAGTGACAATGAGTGGTCGTCTAACATAATTGATTAGTAACCTATGGTCGCGTCTAATACACTGAAGTATTTAGCGCCGTGCAATTATGATGTAATGTCGTCAACAGAACGAAATGGATAATACGGCCTTTCTATATTTTCATTCAATACCTTAGGGTCAAGACAGAATCTAAGCTTACCGGTCGAAGGTTTTGCAACAATACTAATGAATTTACCCAGTTTGTAAGTTCTGTAACCTTACAAATAATTTGTTTTGACCCCATTGAGTCGAGCTCTTTTTAAATCTTATCTCCGAGTCCAAAGGTACTTTTCTAGGTGGACAAACATCAGACACAGCATTTTCCTTCAAATGCAATGAACATTTTCCAGGAAATAACCCTATCCCATGAAACAATTATCTGTACTCTCTAAGTACAGTGTCCTTACTAAGGTCAGATGCGTCAATCGATTCAATCTTATTGACCGAATACATTAATCTCAACAGATCTAAATCTACAGATGTTTTGAGGCTTAACAGCGGGGTAGAAGAACTCTCAACTACATAAAATTCGGAACACACTGATTTGTTATTGTTTTTACAGTGTAGCCATTATTTCCCGGTCACCTGTTTATGAAGTTTACCTTGCTTTGGGGGCTTCTAAAGGGTGTTTAATTTTCAGTTCCCTCAATTTGTGATTTGGGAGGCAATTTAGTTTTGAAACTGTATCAATTTTGCAATAAATATTGCTAAACTTATCTTGCGTGCCAATCGAAACATTTACAAAAACTTGATCAGGACAAGATGAAAACGAATTTACCGTGTGAACAAAGAATTCTTGGTCATTCTCGCCGTTCGATTCACACACGGTATCCACAGTGCCACCCTCATAATGTAACTCGTGCACAGATTTAAATTCACATTGATTTGAAAAATGATTTAATCTTCCACATTTGAAACATGTTTATCCCTGTGATGCCCATTCATTAGAAATGAAATGTTTATTTCCTCATCTGTAACCTTTTTTTTCTATAATCTTCAAATCGTTGTTGTCGTCGTGGTTGTTCTTGTTGCTGAGGTGGCATCTTCCGGTCTCTCTGGTGTGCATTTCGTCCGTCCGTTGCCTCGTCCCCGATGTCGATTTATTGCATCAACAGACTGTTGAGATGCTAGCAATTGCTTGTGCCTGAGACTGACTCAATTCGTACGTATGAGCAACATCTACGCATTTTTCAAGTGTTAGATCTGCGCCTTCCACAATCAGTTTGTCTGACTTTGCTAGATCTTACTCCAAAAACAATATGATTGCGAGAAAGATATTGCTGCATGCCCACATGATAATCACAATCTTTGATTAGCGTTTTCAGTTCTGTAACGAATTGTTCAAAAGGTTCGTTTTCATGTTGTGCTCTTGATTTAAAAAGATATCTGTTGTATATAATGTTACTTTTCGGTTTGCAATATTCTTCGAATTTATCATAATATGATGTAAGTTACTTTCTCTGATCGTTTGATAAGTCCATGTTGAGTATACCTCTCGGCCCTTTACACCGACCCATAACATTAAATAGTTACATTGAACTTCTTCCGTTTTACTTGCCTACTGCCCTTTAAACATGAATTCTGAATGTTCTTTAAATTTTTAAACGCACTGTTTAAGTCCTTCGGATCCAATTCCATGCGAGAATTTTGTTGATGATTATTTTCCATATTTCTTATAACTCCGTTATAAACATACAATTATAAAACGTTTTACTGTAAAAATTATTAAAATTATAATTTGTAAACTTCTGACACCATGTTGTATTATGGGTATATTTATTAATATGTACACAGAGCGTGCACTTGTAATATATATATAACACAGACACGTGTTGCTAGTTCTATCGTTTAATGACCACTGAACGCTCCAAGTATATAAGTGGCGGGAAGATAATGGACATGCGCATTACAGTATAAGATTCTATTAAGATTAAAAATATGTATACAATAAACAACAGTTTCGTTTACTTGTTGTTTCTTAGCCTTGGCATATAATTAAAAAGAATGCATGTGCATCGTCTAGAGTAATACATAAATTCTTTGATGTAACTTTTACTTACAAAAGGGAAATAATTCAAGGATTTAACATAGCTACTTTTTAGGGTAATGGGTGCGCTCTATGATTACAAAACGGACAGTACCTCATCTAACAGAGTAAGCTTTATCGTGGGAACGACATACTACTCGGCTTACTAGTTAAAGGGGAAATAAACGAATATTCTCTCCATTTTGCAAACCATGCGCTACTTTTTGTTAAATATACTATTCTAACATTTTAGGTTAAAACAAAAAAGAATTTGTAACAGAGTTAGTGACGTTACCAACGTCCCTTGTCTAAGGGAGGTTTCACATGAAGCACAAAATTATGCTTTTTCAAAAGATATGGATCTGGACTTCAAGTACACATTCGTGTTCGTTGATAGATATCTGCATATGCAACAATAAATTCATTAAAGAAATAGAATGATTCAACACTTCTATGAGAGAAGACAATCGGAAGTCGAGACTACACCGTCTGATCTCCTACCAGTAATTTATATTATGAATTAACTGTATGAATACTATTTCTCATTTCAATTTTAGGGAGATCCCGAACATGACAGTAATATGTTTTGTCTTACACTTTTGATGAGCAGTACACTTATCATAAATGTAAAGTCTGTGTTCGACTACTCAACCCTGGACAAGTTAGCGTATCCTTTCAGTATACATTTAAGTGAGGAATAGATCGCTTTTCTGCCGTTTGTTTGCAAAGTTGATCGTTCTTGAAGATACGATTGATCAAGGAAAGTACCAAGAAAAAATTAAGCGAAAGAGCAAATTATAAATAATAAGAATATGAGTACCTTTCAAAATACATACCTTTATTTAACCAACTGTATGTTTTATGCCGGTCTACTTGAAAGAAAACGCATTAAATACGAAATATTGGAGAAATATTGGAGAATAAAGACAGTTTCACTCTCACCTATATATTTACCCATGATATTATTATGCTAAATTAGATATCAATCAAAGATGTCATTCTTTGATGTATTGAATATTTAGAAAACTTCTTAAGACAGTACATTTTACATAATTATTCTTCTGGTCAGAGTTAAGCAAATGGGGACCCATTAGACATTCGTCGGTTAAAAGTGATTTGTTGTTGTTTTTTTTTTTTTCAGAATCGTGTAAGTTAACCTTTTCGAATTCATTAGAAGCTTGACACAATGCTAATTTGGCATATATGATAAAATATAAAATAGACTTAACGAATGTTTTCTCAGTAAGAGCCGAGTTACGTATTTCAACCTGACGCGTATTTTCAATTGACTCCTGTCTTTTTTTCTTTTTTATTGTATCTATGTGGCCACTTTGCATCAGAAACTTTACCATCATCACAAAATCTTCAAATTTCTTGATGAATATTGATAATAAACAATCCAATTTTTGCTTGATATTTCATGTAACCCTGTATTTTAGTACCTTTAACACAAAGTTAACTAGTGGTTGCCTGAATAGACTTATTCAGATTGACATAATGAACAATGAAAAAGCTTTTTGTATGTTCCTGGATTGAGTATATTTTAAAGCTTTCTACTACTGTGGTATATACAAGCACGAACTTCATAAAATAAGGAAGAATCAGATAGATATCTATAAAAACGTTTAGTGCATGAGCTATCTTTTGACAAGGATTTGTTATAATGTCTCACAGAACGATTTCCCTATTTCCCTGAAATAATACATAAATATGTTTTTGAACATTTATTCTATATTACATTAAAAATATTTTATAAAGTGTTCGCAATGTTCAGTACTTATTAATTCCTTAATGAATAAAGTTTCATAGCTTCACTATCCGACACGATAAAAATTTTAGATGATGAAGCGGAAGACAAACATAACGCCAAAACAATCCAAGTTGCTTCTCCCACTCTGATTATGTGCATCAGGGATTTTTTCTTGGAAAATACAAAGGATGGAAAACTCCGGACTGCAACTGAGTACCTTGAAGATAATCTTAAACCAGTACAAGTGTCTACCTTACCAAAGAAACAACAGCAAAATCAAGAGAAATTCAACACCATTAAAGAATATATCAAGAATTATTTTCCAAAGAGAAAATGTTTTACGATTGCACAGCCAGCTTTGGGAGAGAATCTTAAGGAAATCGAAAAATTAGATGAAACATCCTTAGCGAAGAGTTTTGTCGAAAACATCAAAGAATTGCAAAGTTACGTTTATGACAGAAAACCTAAGTATATTTGCAACGCAAGCAAGAAACCATTAGATGGATCAGGTATGTATGCTTTGATTCGGAAATTGTATTATAAATAAAAATAAGAAACGAAATGATATTTAAATATTCCAAAGAAGTAAATTTAATTGCCAAGACAGATATGCTTGCAATTTTCTGCGATTTTTTATTGTCAGAACTATTGTTAAAAAGGCCAGTCTTTGAGAGCGACAAAAACTTGCTCCTCGGGGATGTCTTTCTTTAAATTTGTTATAGCCTATAGGCATAGAGAACAGTATTTGAAAGCTTTAGACGGAAACCTTATTCATAACTGAGAATGTACTTTTAAAGCAGTTTGAATGTTTTAGTGAAGACAAAATACAGAAAAATTAAAATTTCCTCAAAGTCTTTGAACACTTTCATTAGGATTGAACTTGCAAACTGCATACTACATCATGAAATACGCTTCGGCGAGTTATATATACCTCGCTTATATTATATATAGTAAACGGGTGCTGGATAGTAACTTTGTACATTGGGTATTTCGAAAGTTTTTGTGCTCTGGAGGCCTGTTTATTTGTTCTCTAGAAGTGGTAGAGATTTTTCTTATTCCTGCACTTAGTTGTTTTTCAAGTGCAGTTAAACTTTCTTTATTTAGCCTGCTTTCACCAAAGAAAAGACTTTGTTTGATTAACCTTATCATTTATAATTGTAAAGGCGCAGGTTATGTCAATAAAGAGAAACTCTTTATTCCTGCAGAAGACTTTATTCTTTAACGATATTTGTTTTTGACAATAGATCTTTTCTTTTTCGCAGGATAGACGATACAGCAATTTTTCTTTAGGGTTTATTGATTGTAGCAAAAAGTAAGTTCATTGAATTCCTCTCGTGTATGCATTTGAAATGTTGTTAATGCCTGTTTGCAGGATGACTATATTTGCTTCTTTTTGTCATCTTTGTGTAATTTATTATCAGTTATTACTTTGTTGATGTCTTTGATAGATGCTTCATTTATTGATTTGATGCTGACATTTACCAGATGCGAGTTTTTTTTCTAATTAGTCATTTTGTAGCTGAATCATCCAAGATGATTACTTCATGTTTCTTAGTCTGACCCACATTTCTTGCAGAAGGTGAACTTTTCTCCGAGTCGTTTGATTTTCTGTATAATTCTTTGGTTGATGATGTCTTTGTATTAAGTGTTGGTATAGCGGTGTCTATAGCGTCTTTAGTGTTATTATAGAACCTATGCAGATTGATTACAAAGGGTTTATAATACAATCACTCGAGTTTCCTTCCTAGGATGGTCAGCAGTGAAGCAGGAATATACCGTTTCTTCTTAGACTTGTTACCTTACAAATTGCGTCACCTACAGCTGAAATCTCACCAGTTCTGGTTAGTTCGGAACGTTCCGTTAAATTCCTGAACCTATACTATACGGTACTACACTCCTCCATATCCTATTCTTCAAGAGGGGTCTGTAGCTCACGGAAGTTAACCAATCACTGGCAATCACCAAAACAGTCTAATCTAAGGGCACTCTAGAGCTTCCCGGGTTCATACTGATGCATACTGCTTAAACCTGTGCTAGGGGCGTGGACATGCAAATTTGTACTTTCCATTACCGTCCATGAACAGGCTCAATGAAATCGAGCCTGCAACATTTTCAATTTTGTCGTTTTTTTATGTGTTCTTTAGGGATTCTTTATTTCTCTCCTATTTTCATACCAGTACTGGTACTAGGCCATGAACCAGAGGGCTGGTCAACCTGGTCTACATGAGTGGACCGACCCCTTCCAGCCAGCACAATACCACAAATACTTAATCGGAGGCAGGGGCCTTCCGGTCGAGATACATGCGTTCTGTATTAGCAGTGTCTTGCTGCTGAACTTCCACCAATCACGGTATGTCATATAGGCAACACAGGCAGCTGTCGTTCCAATCAGGACCGGAGTGGAATGTTGGTATCCCGCTGGAGCAAAGTAGGGAGCATCAATCCCTAGTAACATTCGAAAAGGCTGAATGTCACAGACAACAGCTATCTGATCAAGGTTTGCTGGCCTGAACAGTCTGACCACTGAGTTCAACCAAAATTAAGCTTGGGAACTTAACGAGCAAGGATCCATGACTGTCTTGGAGCGAGGGATGTTACACGTATTCATTATCCCTCATGTACATTTGTTTCCAGATTTCTTTTTATTTGGTTCTAGAGAAACAGTGGAGATTGATCAACTGCTCCTCTGTACCTTTGGGTGGCTTTCTAGTTGGTACATTAGGGACAAAATGGCCTCATCCCCTTTTCCAAATTGCTGCGCGCATATAACACCAAAATCTGCCCTGGCTAGCCTCTCCAGAATGCCACAGATAACGACAACCCCCTCATAAACCAAGGGTTGAAATAGTGAATCCGAAGGATGGTTGTCAGGGTCACAGCAAATGGTTGCTGCTCCCAATGATATTGACTTCGAATCCCTCATCCTGAGCCTTCGCAGCAAAAATTGCTGCCAACGAAGGATAAGAAAAAGCTAATTGTCTCCTTGTTCTATCCAATTGACAAGAGCTGTCAAAAGCTCTTGGAAGACTCAGGCTAAGGTCTTTCTCTTCAGAAGACAATTCGAACATGAACTTCAAACCGTCACTGATGTCTCTCCAGCATTGAAACCAAGGCCAGTTGACAACGTAAGTGTAACAAAGCTGTCACAGCATTTCCTTGTTTCTAGCATTTCTAGTGCTCCTAACCTCATATTGGTCACACATTCTCCACTAACAGACATCCAGAATTTGCCAGGGAGATGGACCTTGAAGTCCCTAAAATTGAAAATGTTGCAGTCTCGGCTTGATTGAGCCTGTTCATGGACGGTAATGGAAAGTGCAAGTTACCGCCCACGCACCCTAGCACCGGCTTAAACAGAATTCAATATTCAGCATGAACTGGTACAATTTTGAATTTTGAAACATCCGCAGCTGTGTTCATATGGCGGTTATCATGAAACCATTATAAGACAAAGGCACGAGATCCAGCGACAAGGAGAAACTGAGACAGCTCTTCCAGTCATCTCACCAATTGGCCTTGTGATTCCATGAAATTCATTAACAATCTCAGACTTAAATGGTCAGTCCTAACCACAAATGGTCTGCCTTTCAAGAAGTGTCGGAATTGTCTGGTGAACTGACCGACTACTAGCGGCTCTTTCCTCGTCATGCAATATAGCTACCATACGCGACAACTTTCTCTTGACCATCTTGTACCTGCAAGAGCTGTGCTGCAATCGAATCATTGGAAGCGTCCGTATCCAAGATAAAGTCGTCATGTTGATTTGGTAATGCTAACACCAGAGGCACTTCAAAGTTTTAAATGATTCTGCCTGTTCTTCACCCCAGACAAAATTGACTTTGCACTGACGGCGTGCAATAGGACTGCTATCTTAGAGAAGTCCTTTACAAACCCTCTATAATAATAAACCCACCCCATAAACCTGCTTGGCATTGTTGGGAACAGGCTAATCCCTTACAACTGCTATGTCATGTTCTGTCATAGTAATTTTGTGTTTACTCACATTTCGGACTAGAAACACTACTTTCCCTCCGAAATCTCGAAAGGACCACCCGTAAGTTTGAGGGATGGTCCTCAAAACTGCGTACAAGCACGATGATATCATCTAAAAAAGCTGAGACTGTCTTCCATGTCAAGATTCTGAGAACTAAAAGATGAGAATAAAGATCTTCAAAGCAAATGCAACGTTCACAATACGCAGACCCCGACACACCCAAGCCACCACAGCAGGGCACCCAGAAGGCACCAAACCAAAACTGGGAGTGGACGTAAGGATGGCAAAAAGAGGATTGGGACTAGCTATGTGTGAAATAATAAAATCTAAAACGGGCCCATATGAGAATTAAAGGGACAGGGGCTATAAGGGTGAAAGGGGGTGTCAAAAATGAGAGAAGGGGGGTGAGTAAATACTTATCGTTAACGACAAAATCACAAAACATGCAAACATTCAAAAGAAGTAACCATACAGACATGTGAAGAAATACGCATAGAGGGGTATCCCCTTCGAACGGTAAGTGGTACAACACAGGGGAATTACAGCACTAAGATCATCGCTTTGGCAAATGTGGCGCGGGCATCAAATAAAACAAAGACCATGCAAACATGTTCGAAAGGAAAGTACCTTGTAATACATTTTTCCCGCCTTCTCTCATTCTTAACTGGAAGTATGCAGAATTTGCATCCAATTTTGAAAACCAAACACTGCCAACAACTGTGTTCATGCAATCATCGATACACATCTTTGACTGTAACCTCATTCAATTTCCTATAGTCTATGCAATAACGCATAAAGCCGCCAATTTAGAGACCAAAACTGGAGCGGACTTCCAATCTGATTTGGAATCTTGTATGACCCCCTACCCTCAGCATTTTCTGAAGGTGGGCTTCTTCTTCCCTGCGAACCATGCAAGCGTTCGCCATATATGTTGCTTCACAGGATTTGCATCCCCAGTATCATTGACAATCTACATCAGTGAAGTCACCAAGGTCAAACTCACTTTTGGCGAAAACATTTTGAAACTTAGTAAGCAATTGCGCTCCTTGGAACCGTTTTTGTCAATCTTTGCCTCAAGGTCACCAAAAGCTTTGCTCAGATCACCTTTTGACATAGCCTGTTGCTCCCGTGAAGGCTGGAATATAACAACAAAAAAACCTTTTTCGGGTTTCCTGTTTCGGTCACCATACATTGCAGAATGGAACAGCTGGTACTGGTGGACCATTTGTATTGCTGCATGCACAGAATGGGGTTGCTGCATAGAGACATGATTGCCCGCCTCCTTATCCACAATACCCAGGTATAATCTGTTCACTGTCTGGGCAGTGACAAATTCCTCTTGGATCTTCCTAAAAGCTTCATAACCTAGAGAGAACACTCCTCCAGTGACTCTGAAGTTTCTTGCGCTGTATTCTGATATCTTACCTGTGTAGAAACCGGTAACTCATTTTGGCCAAAACAGGCGGCCAACTTGCCTACCACCTTGATAGGTAAGATAACCTTCCTGATCATGGA